AAGTTTCTCCCCAAAAACTGCCCTGGAGGAGGTCCTACAGGGGCAGTTCTTGCACAAAGCTTCAGGCAGTCCACGAGATCCTGCAGTGGAGAATCCAGAAAGTTCAGAAATACACATTATTGCAGATTTACCATAACATTTTCACAATTGGTGGCAGTATTACTGTATCAGGAGACTTAATTGAGTGGCGTATTTGAACAGGGTAAATGACTAATAATTATATAATATTGAAATCAAGACAAGTCAATCCAGTCCAAATGGGGACGAGTCTACAGTCTTCATAGCAACCTTGAAGTCAGCACAGCGTCACTTTGAGCCTGTCAGCTTGCTAATGTGTTCGTGTGATCATGTTGTTGTATTTAGCTGAAATGTAAATGCGCTCAATGATATCATCAGATTAAACAGAGGGTCAATAAACTGCCCCTGTATCCGTGTTAAACGCTGCGGCGCTGCTTCATCTGGACATTAAATTAAACCAGTTCTAGAGCTTCTCCATCTCTCGCCCCCCTGGTTGCAGTGTTTACTCCAACTGCTCTGTCAGTGTTTATCTATATACTGGTATGCAAGCAGAAGAGGGAAGAGGGATGCATCCGCAGTCCATCATACATCAACGAGTCTGGAGGAGATTAGTCCAACAGCAGAGAGACACGAGGCGAAAATCATGTTTGAAAGCTGAAAATGCTGTTATGAAGTTATGAGCCTCCAGTTTCTACTAGGGTTACATAGAGGGACAATAAACGCTGTAAAATTGATCTTGTGCAGCAGAGAACTATCTGTATTCATTCAAGATCCATCCAGCTCTCTATTTAAGGCCTAATTAAACATAGACTGTTCTGCTAAAACCAGCAATCAAGATGTGATTTTAAATGCCTACGTGCAGCATGTGGGTGGAAAAAGGAGACCGCCGAGCTGAGGAGGAAAAGCAGACTTTAATCGAATTAAAGAGCAAGCGGCGTCTGAACTGTTGGGACATTTGTCGAGCTCTTATGTCATCTTAAGCTCAGGAGACACCTGCGTTGCCGTGCAAAGACATGTTCCAGTACGTTTTCCACATCGTGTGTGTCAAGAAGATTGGGGGCAACGAGGAGATGAGGAGGAGGAGGAGGAGCTGGGAACAGGATGAGACGGTCAGGCTCCAGCTAATCTGGCATTGACGTACTGCTGTCTGCATCAACTGAACGCCTCCAGCATTTTTTTTTATCAAACACAATGTGCCCCAATAGTGTCCAAATTCTTACAAGCAGCGGCTCAACACTCCAGCTAGTACACGTTTTTCTTATGTTTTCACTTATATTTACATATTCTTGCTTTCATTTTGAACTGAAAAGTTGTGATTGCTGAGTTCACAGTTGAAAAATGTCAGCTGGAAGTCAGACTTGTGACTCAGAAAGTTGGAAAAACCTCCAAAACGCCAACCTTGAAATCCAAAATGGCTGCTCAGTGTATGAAAAGTAGTGAAAGCTGCTGTCACATCTTGTTTGTTCGCACTTTTATCTCATTTGTGTCTCATTAAATTATCTGCAAAGACAGTACTGTCCAACTTCTATCTGTGGACATGCTGCTACAATGTTTGTATGCACAAAATGGCGCTTAGGGCGTTGTTATCAACTCTGTTAGCAATAGCTAACAATGACTAACCTGAAAAAAAAGTTTGTTCATGAGGTGTCTGTCTTAGTTGTCTGACTTTAACTAAAATTAAATCCTTTCAGCACAAGTTTGTGAAGTGATTCCAAACTCAGACTTCTGGCTAGCTTAGTTTAGCTTAACTTGATGAGGGAAACAGCTAGCATGCTAGCATGTTAGCTTATCATAATAATTCTTTTTTGCCTAAAAGAGTTGCCAAACCTTCATGAAATGTCTAAATCTATTTTTTACGTTTCCTTTACAGCATGCCATTTTAATCCTGGTTTATTTCAACCGGCCATCTTGCTAACAATTTTGGCTGTTGTAGCTCCATGGGTCAAGCTAATTTTGACCACTCCACCACAGTTGTTCAGACCAAGCTCCCAGCAACTTTCAAAAAGATAAGACTTTTACGTCAATCATTTTGAATGGCGTGCATGGACAACTATGCATTGTGATTAAGTCAGCCGGCAAGTTGCCCCAGATGGCAAACCTCATTGCACTTAACAAAATGGCCGTTCCAGGCGGCTAATCTCTGTTTGTTTTCAGCCAGACTTTTAAAATGTTTCATGTAACAGCTTTTTTTTTTTTTATAAAGCTGGAGGGAGCTCGCCATAGTCGCCCTGTTATTCACTGTTTTGTGCCACTCCTTGTTTTTCCAAAGCATTATAATATCGGTGGATGTTATAAGGTTAGCGTGACTCATACAGCTGGGATCCATTTAGCTGGAAAATTGAAAGTTGGAACTGAAAATGACGAGTTGATTGTGTTCCAGTACAACCAACATGGACCCCTCCAGTAGCTGTTGTTTTTTAGGCTACACATTGTGAGTGGTACCAGCTGATAATGATGTATTACGTGTTTATTTGCACATATGAACACCACAACAACTTGTCCACAGATAGAAGTGAGACAGCAGTGTATGTAATTGATTTAACATGGTCGAAATGAACTGGAATTGCCCATTAATGAGTAGACTGAACTAGGTGAGCTGTTTCTCCATCTCTCTCCGGTCTTTATGCTAAGCTACGCTAACAATTCCCCTAGCTGCACTGCAATCAATTTTCTCATCCAACCTTCTGCAAGAAAGCAAATTTGTAAAATGTCAAACGATGCAAGAAATGATTGTACATGTGTATGTTTGTGTGGAAGAAAGCGAGCAGACATATTGGTCATGTTGCTTTATTTATTTATTGTGCTCCAGTAACAGTAAAATCTGTAATGTAATCTGATTTGTTGTGATTACTTTGACATACTTGGTTCAAGGGTTCAGAAACACCTAAGAAAGAGAACAACTCCAAAGTTCAGGAAATTTAAGGCTTGCAAACAAACATTTCCCTTTGCAGACTCGTGTTTTTCTTTCCAGAACATTAAAACCTATCCTTAATGTGACTTTTGTGACTGTAGGAGACTTCATCTTTGTGTACATCCTTCCTGATATTCGATTCAAGATGTGGACCAACAGAACAACCCACCTTTAACCACAAACCCGTTGAGGAAAACGTTGAAGGGTTAGACTGGTGATTTCCTGTTCTACAAAGACAAAGCCCTATTCCTATTAAGGTCAGAGAGAAAAAAAAACTGCAAGAAGGATTTTGAAAATGTACTGGAAGTCTTTACAAATGTAAACAAAGATAGGAAAACCTTTTCAAAAGCACCGATGGACATAAACAAACTTCTACAAATCCAAGCACTGATTCTAGGAAAACGCTCAACCTGCCATGAAGCTCCACCAGAAAGCAGAAAAACAAAAGGGATGATTTTTGTGTGCAACTGAAATAGTTTAATTTAACTTAATTAAATATAAATTTGGAGGTTTTTTTAATTCACATTTTACGGACATACTGTAATGCTGCAGAGGCGTGACGGATCAGTCTGTGTAATGGGAGCTTTCGGACACGACTCTGCCTGCTTCCACCTCCACCCGGATCAGCAGGCGCTTCTTGGAGGCGGGGCACTCTGGTGGGATGATGGTGGTTGCCGGGATGTCGGTGGTTGCCGTGGGGACGGGGATGGATTCCTGTGGCTTCTCCGTCAGGCGTTGCTTGTTCAGCAGGTGAGCGTCTGCGTGCAAGCAAGGACTTGGATTGGTTGGTTTGTTTTTTAGAAATCTGAGCGAAAGAGAGGTTTGATTTTAGTGGGACACAAAACATGGATGAAGCATGAGAATGCTGGTACGTGTGAAATGGATTTGTATCAGTTTTTAAGTGTGCATCTATGAGAATTAAATAATTGACAGACTTTTGGTATGTGTACCTCTCCACCTTCTCTATGTTTCCCACAATTCTTTCCAACAAAACTCTAACTTTTAGGACGCTTTTCATTATGTGAACGTCTTCTTGCTTCCCTTACTCGCATCACTTCCTTACATCTTTGCTTATCCGAGAGAGAACGTAAGAGGAAGGATACATCTGTGTTTCCTCCCTCTAAGATCCTACAGAAGCCTCCTCATTTCCTTGAGGTGCATTTAAGGGTTTGGAAGATCCTCCATGAATCTGCAGAAAGAGAATTCACGACACGAAATCGTTCCTCGTCTGCCATCATAGGAGGATCTTCCAATCCTTTAAATGCACCTCAAGGAGGTTTCTGGAGATCCTGAAAATCCTCATTGGGAGGAACTAAGATGCCACGAGTGACGGAAGCAAGGAAACACGTCAGAATAATAAAATCACCATTAGTTTATGTCCATTTGCACATTAACTGGCTAAATTGGTGTAGAAATTGTAAAAATACTTTATTTTAAATCTGTGTTTTCCATTTTAAGGCTTAAAGCCCCCGCAAGGGCTCGAAACATAGCGACAAGGGGTTGGGACAGGATATTGTTTTTTCACTTCTGTCATATTTTTCTTCACTGTTGGCTCATTTTTCACTGCAATATGAAGTCCTGCACCTCCATGGGAACAGAACAACAATGACTCAGGACTCTAAAATGTATTTATTATAATTCCACAAATCATTAAAAAGAAAAAAAGTTGAATTTGTATGAAAATGTGTTTTAACCAAAGTTGAGGAAACACTGAGTCAACATGTAAAACCACAGGTGTTACCAGTACTGGAAAGAAATGAAAAATGTTCTGTGTAAACACTTCCCGCAGTTCAGCCAAACAGCCTCTTCTGTTTTTTGTTGTTTTTTTTAAACTAAATTTAGCAAAAATTTTTAAAAAAAACAAACAAAACACTTCTGCTTTTTTGTTGTGAAAAACCTCATATTTCATCTCTAAAAATGATTCACATAAAACACTTGAGAAAAAGATTTCTTTACTAAACTAGGCACAAGTGGACGTGATGACGGATCACAAGCCAAACAAACTGGGAACCACTGATTTGGATCGTTCCTGTTTTTCTCTTCATGAGCTGCATGAAGCTTAAATCATCCAGAATTTGTGAACTACAGAAAAATACACCTGCAAACATGCAGCTGTATAACTGGGAGAAGCCATGTGGGTAGAATTTTCTAAGGGTTCCAGATGTGGTAATAAAATGTTCCTCACCTCCGTTGCGCATAAGTTCGTTCATTCTTCAGGGATGAAGCAGAAACAGTTGTTAGTGTCAGCATTTATACATTCATTCTTTTTTAAATCTTGTGCATATTGATGCAATGCAATCCCTTACCTCTGCTCCTCGCCCTCCAGCAGCTTGTGGTAGGTGGCGATCTCGATGTCCAGGGCCAGCTTCAGGTTCAACAGCTCTTGGTGCTCGCGGATCTGTCCGGCCAAGTCCTGCTTGGCCCGCTTCAAGGCCTCCTCCAGCTGAACGATCTGCTTCCGAGCCTTCGCTATGTGCTCGTCGCCATCTTGTCTAACGTTGTCGATTTCGTTCTTGAGGGCCTCTTCCTAACGGGAGAAGCAGAGATGAAGATCATCTGGGCTGCACATGTGTGAACTCTTCAGCGTTGTGTGATCCTGACCTTCCTTTTGAGAGTGTCCAGGTCTCCGGTGAGTCTCTGGATGAGGCGCAGCAGGTCAGAGATGTCCCTCTTCACGTCACGAACCTCCTGCTCACGCTGTCCTGCATTGAGGACCAACGAGTCCATCTAGAGGGGACGACCGAATCATATTACAATCTGTAGCATCTATTACTACATTGTTAAAAAAAACAATAATAATGTAAAATTTCCTTCACACAACATGGTTTAATAATAATAATTCTCCTTCCCAGTTTAATGTTGAAGTCATCACTGAAGGAGCTTTGATCTTTTCCTCACCTTTTTCTGGTTCCACTGCTCGGCCTCCTCCCTGCCGCGGGCGGCCATGTTGGCGTACTGAGCCTTGACGTTCTCGATGATCTCGTTCATGTCCAGAGAACGCTTGCTGTTGTCACGTAACAGGACCGTCTCGTTCTGGACCTGCGACTCCAGCTCCTTGATCTCCTGCAGGGGCCAGACAACAGTTAGAATCGTTTTTATTTTCATCCTCCTTCTGTCGAGCTGAACTCGTGTTTATGTGTGTTTACCTCGTCATAGCCGACTCTCAGGAAGTCCAGCTTTCCCATCTGGTCCTCCAGCTCCAGAGCCAGATCCACAGCCTCCAGGTGACCTTCGTCCACGTCCTGTTGCACACATTAAACACACACACATGCATGAGTTTGCTTCCAAAATATTCCCAAAGCTCTTCTGTCATCTACAAATGAACGTGTATTAAATGTGATGCACTAAATGATTTGAATCCTGAGGAATTTGCCAATTTAAAGAGAGTTTTTACTGTGTTTCTAAATGAATAAAAAAGCAGCCAACAGTACCTTCTTGGTGATGACAAACTCATTTTCCAACTCAGCTTTTTTGTTCATCTCCTTCTCAAACCTGAAACAAACAGCAAATTAAAGGAATTCATTTGTGTCATATGATGTAAAATAAAAGATTCTGTCAAAAAAAGGGTCAAAATCTGGCAGAAAAAAATAACTGTGGATACTGTAACATTTAAAAATTGGAAAACAAGCAAACAACAACAAAAACAGTGAAAGAAAACCTCGGAGAGCAAATGCTGTTTCTGCACTGTGACCTGCTGACCTGTCCTTGGTGTCCTCCACCTCCTCCTGGTTCTTCAGCAGCTCGGCCTTCAGCTTCTCCTGGTCATTGAGCAGGTTCTCGATCTGCTGCTCCAGCTCGTTCTCAAGCTGCTTCACCACCTCGTCCACCTTCCCCTTGTAGTCCTCCTGCTCCTTCAGGATCTTCAGCTGCGTGTCCAGCCTCTTCTTCTCGTTCTCCAGGTTTTTCACCTGTCGCAGAGACAGACACAGTCAGGAAGGAATATGCTTGCTTTCTTTCTTTCGTTTTTTTTTTTTTTTTTTGACAGTTTTTAATTGTAATTTCCTTCTTTTACAGATTTCCCCAGTTTTGTTAAATTAGGTAATACTAACTAGCAAAATCCCAGAAAAAGTTTTTTTTTTTTTTTTTTTTGCTAGTCAACCTTAAAAACAGGCAAAACTGTACATAATGGCCACATAAAAATAATAATAATTAAAAAATAAAATGGTGATTTATTCTTTCATCAAGTTTCATTGTAAAATTATATTTAATGTAGTAATACCAGCACAAAATATATCATGTTGGACTAATATTTTCCTTTTTTTAAAATCAGAATTTGTCAAATTATTAAATAGAATTATTAAGTATATTAATTCAAATATTTTCCTTCAAATATTTTCCCATTAATATTTTTCCATTATTCCCAATAGTCTGTTCTCTTCATTTCATAGCGTGTCTCTGCTTCCGGTAGTGTATATTTATAATCGAGCCTTTATCCAATCATATTGATGGTCATCATGTGTTGCCAGGTTCAAAGAAATCTGCCCTGAGGCCTTCAGACTCAAAAGCGCAGGCGCCAAAATGCCTCGTTACTTTAACCAATCAGATTTCGACTTGTTGATCTCAGGGCCATCTAGCAGGTGAGCGATGACGCCGGCATTTTCACGCCCTCTGATTGGATGGTCAGATAGCTTTAGCTAACCAAAGCTAGCGGTTCCTGTCTGTAGCGACCTGCAGAAGCTAAAACGTTATCGCAGAAGTATTAATAGCTGTTTTTAAACTTAGGCAAGCGGACATTCTCAGCCTTAAAGCGAATTAAAACTTATGCCAGGACTAAGACTGGACAGACTTTTAGCATTAGCTTCCATGACGATGGAAAAGGACTTAATGTTGGAAGTGAAACGTGCTGCCTTCACAACGGACGGTTTGAATCGCTGCTAAGGAAAGCAAGGAAGAAAAAGTGACGAGTTTTGGTGAGTAAAATGAATTATATTTACATTTCTAGATATATTTGTCATTTTAGTGGGTTAATAGTGATGCTTCTAGTAGATGTGAGGTATGCGGCTGCAGTGAAAATAGACTTGTTGAGTTATTTTAATAGTTTTTATCGCCGTGGTGTCGTTGTGATGCTATTCAGAGGTGGTTTCTTCAGGTAGGATGCTACTGAAGGCCTCAGAGTAAAACGCACTGAGGTAAAATGGCTCATTTCCGACCCCTTCAGACCTGAAACTTTCTAACTTTCCACAAGGTGGCGTCCCACATGATCCTCCTGCAGAAGGAGCCGCTTTTTCGTGGCCTCAGGTCTCAGATTTAGAGCAGAGAAGCAAAACCTGCTCCAGGAAACGGGTTTTTACAAACAGTCCATTGTTATCAAAAGGCCTCATTTCATTCATCACGTATTTAAAATCCTGCTTTTGTTGCAGAGTTTGCATGGGTTCAAATGAGAGAGTGAGACTTTAATCCTAAAAATAAATAAATAAATAAAGAGAGGGAGAGAATAAATACCCAGCAGTAATAAAGAAGGAAGAATTTTGTTTTTTTTTAAAAGAAATAAACTGTGGTTTCTATTCGAGTGTGTATGAATTTACACATAAATAAATAGTTGCAAGATGACATATATGTATAGCATCAATAATTATCTAATTAATAAATAGAACAGAAAAAAAGTAAAATATAACAGTAATAATATACGTTGTTTACAAACCCTGTCGGTCAAGCGGACGATTAAAAAAAAAAAAAATAAATAAAATACAGTTTCAGTGCTTTTTAATCGAATATTTATTAATTTACACATAAATAAGTTGCTGCTTTTTTTCAGGGGGCGCTTATTAATTGCATCACTAATTATTTATAATTTTAGAAAGAAAACAACTCTCCTACGAACCTTGTCAATGAGCTGGACGAACTTGTTGTTCAGTCCCACCATGTCGTCCTTCTCGCGGGACTTGCCCGTCGGGTCCACCTTGCCGCTCGGCTGGCTCTTGGCCGGTCCGCCGCTGCTCGGGCTGTACGACTGGCTGCTGTAGTCTCTCGCTTTGGACATTTTGAAGCTTGGAGCTGCGAGCTGAAGTCCGTCTGAACAGGTGAGAGCTGAAGTCCTCTCAGCCCCTCACATCACCTGCTTTTAAGGTGGCCAAGAGCTCCAAGACCTCCCCAAAACTCCCCCTGCGTCCAATCACGAAATGCCAAGTGCAAAATTACAGCGAGAAAAATGAAAAATCAACATGAAATACTTGAATTTCGACTCGGAACCTGTTTGTCCAGGAGTGGTGCCTGGCACCGGGAGCCAATGGCACCGCTGGGGGAGGATTCGTGCGTAAAAAGTTGGGGTATAAATCCCACCTGCATCCTCTCCATCAGTCAGGTGCGTCTCCGGATAGAAACTCTGTCAGCGCTCACCTTCCAGCAGCAGTCATGCCTTCAAGAAACACCGCCGCCAGCATGTTTGGTGGAGCCGGGGGAAGAGGCTCCAGGGCGTCCGTGGCGAGCCTGGAGGGGCTGCGCAACGTCCTGCGCAACGACACGGAGAGAGACTCCGCTCCCGTCGTTCCAGCCGTGGCGGCGCCCACCGCTGCCGCCGCCGCTCCCGCCGCCCCCGCGGACGACAAGCAGACGATGCGGGGTCTGAACGACCGTCTGTCCGGTTACCTGGACCGAGTGAAGCAGCTGCAGGAGGAGAACCGGGACCTGCAGAAACAGATCGATGACATCCTGGCCAAGAGGAAAGCACCCGAGGGACGCAACTGGGATGAAGTCCAGAAACCGCTGGATGACCTCAAGAAGAAGGTACACAAAACTCAAACAAACAAACAAACAAAAAACACACTATTTTACAGAATGCTTTTAAATTTTTTTGGTTTTTTATTAAGCAGATTTTTTTGAAATACATGAAGAAATATGCCCATAAAATTCCATTTAAATTTATGAATGTTTTCTTTTCATTCAATGCCTTAAATATCTGTAAACAGCTACAGAACTAACAGGTTATTTTCAAGAAAATGTGAATTTTTTGAGGTATAAAAGCTGTTAAAATACATTTGCAAATAATCATAACTTAACAAATATTTCATTTTTATTTAACAGATTAAACAACTAATTTTAAGTTTTATATTGTAAACGTGTTTCTGGATGAGATGATCTGTATATTTTGGGAAGGAAGCAGATTTTAATTATGGAAAAATAACTTTGGTATTTCTGGCTGAGTATATTTACCATCTTTGCATTCATGTTTATTATCTAATTAATATGCATGTGGTACATTTCCCTCCTCAGATCAAAGACATCACCATGGACAATGCAAAGCTGCTGCTGCAGATTGACAACACCAAACTGGCCAACGATGACTTCAAGACCAAGTAAGCGTCACACAGTCTGCATCAATTTTCAAACCTTTTGCTGTCTTGTTGCATTTGCAGTCAGTAGCTGAGGCCTAAACTTGTCTCTGTTCACAGGCTGGACGATGAGACAAAGGCCCGTAAGGAATTAGAGAGAGACCTGGACGACCTGAAGAAGGTCATCAAAGACACCAAACTGAACCGCGAGCAGACGCAGAAAGAGATCGATCTGGTGAAGGAGGAGGTCACTCGCCTGGAGCGGGAACACAAGGATGTGAGGCCGAAAACAAAACGCGTCTGTTGCAACTAACAACATGATATTTGTGTGAAATCTGAGGTCAAAACTGTGGTTCTTGCAGGAGGTGGACGCTCTGCGCGAGAAGATCAAGGACTCCGAGGTGAAGGTGGAGATCGATTCCCAGAACTCCAACCTGGCCGAGGTTCTCAACGACATCCGAGCCCAGTACGATAAATTGGCCCAGAAGAACCTGAAGGAGACGGACGACTGGTACAAGACCAAGGTGTGGTACCTGCAGGATGACAACGTAAGTCTGCTGCCTCTCCTCTGCCGCGCTCACTGCCTCCGTCTTGTTTTCAGTTTGACACCATCAAGGTGGAGGAGGCCCAGAACGTGGAGGCTCTGCAGTCTGGGAAGACGGAGCTCAAGGATCTGCTGAAACAGAAGCAAACTCTGGAAATCCAGATCCAGAGTGCGCTCAGCACGGTAACCAAACACAAACACATGAACCCGTCCAGTCACAGGACGGTGCTTATCACTCTGCATTAAAATACAACATACAGGAAAGTAACCATCTCATGAAATACGGTTGTTTTTCCATCATTAAAATCTGTTTTCTGGCTGTAATTTTACACAAATAATGTGTATTTCTTGGCTTTTAATGCTTCATAAAGGATATTTAAATATATACATAGATAGATGGTACATATGTGCAGTGCTTATTGATATTAGACACTGATGAAAACACATTTCTTTAATATTTTTGTTGTAAAAACATCTGTAATACACAAAATATCACTCAGTTAACAAGCAAGAGTGTAAAATCAAATGTCTTTTTCAGTTGTCACGAATTGTGTTTAATTTTATGAATATTTTTACAGGATAAAAATAGAATTTTACAGTTTCATCAAATAGATAAGATTTTTTTTTAATGTACGTTAAATTTGTGAATGCATTTTAACTCCTTTTTTATGGAAATGTTATGGTCGAGCACGGTTACAGGTTGTTTTTTTTTTTAATGGTATTTTAAAGTAGCCATGTAAATATACAGTATTTTTTTGTATTTTTTTAAATAATTTGTTAGCCTAGCTTAGCACAAAGACAAGAAACAGTGAGTTAGCTTAGCTTAGCTTAGCTTAGGTGTAAAATCATCCAAGCAGTTCTCCTTTTTCTGTTAGTTGTCACTAATTGTATGTTATTTCAGGAATATATTGACAGTATTAAACATGAATTTAATAGTTAGATTTTTTTTAAAAAATATAGTAAATTTGCAGATGTATTTTAAGAGTATTTCAATAACACAAAATTTCAGTTTTCAAATTTTTTTTTGGCGATTCACAGTTACAGATTTTCTAAAAAAAAGTTATTGAATATTAGAATTGTAAATTTAGAGTCTATTTTGGTCATTTTTACAGTTTTGTAGTTTTCTACATATTTTTATGCATAAAAAAAACTGACAAACTCCAGTAATAATCAGATATTTTGATAAATAGATAGATATTAGGGCTGTTTGTGTACATGGAGAGAAAAAAAATGACCTCAAGATCCAGATTTTTTCTTGACAGTATAAGTGCGACTCGTTGAAACCGCCTGAAGCTACAGTCCACCACACACACTGCAACAGCTGAGCTTTATTGCAGGTTTGCACAACGAGTTCATTGTCGAGACAAGCCTGGAGATGCCTTGTTATGACACACAAACCCTCAACATTTGTTGTGCTTTTACGTAATCACCCTGCAGCGTATGTAAAACTCTGTCACATCTCACATAACAGTAGATCCCCGTCAGGCCTGCGGCGAATTCCAAAAATCCCCGAAGCAATTCTTCTGGAGGTGCACAGAACAAAATCCATCCTCTATCCTGTCAGGAAAGATAAAGCTGCCTGCAGGGCGGGTAGACGTCTTCACAGGCATTCCTGACTGCCCTGTCATTACAAACTGCTGCTTTAAAGCCCAAAAAACCACCTTGTTTGTCTAATGGCAGTCTGGAGAGCCACCTGGACGAGCTCTTGTGTAACAAAAACAACTACGAGCTCCAAAGTTCTGGTGATTTATTGCAGGTTTTAGGGTCTCGTGTCCCCAGAAACGAAGTCATCCTGAATCTTCCTTTCAGATCCGTAACCTGGAGGAGACTCTGAGGAGCACCAAAGCAGAATATGGTCATCGCCTGGCCCCGTTAAACCAGGTGATACTTGACCTGGAGTCGGAGCTGAAGGAGGTGAGATCACAGGTGGAGCAACAAGTCGAGACCAACAAGAACCTGCTGTGCGTCAAGATGAAGCTGGAGGCAGAAATCAATAACTACCAGCAGCTGATTTACGGCATGACCGCTGATACCGACAGGTGAGGATGGTCAGGGCTCACAGTGGCTGCAGCTGGAACGCTAGCAGAGCTTTGAACGCAACATCATTTATCCAAACTAAACTTGTTTAAGGTGTAGACACATCTGTTCCATCATCTAATGTTAAATTGGTAGTTTGGAAAACACTTTAACCACTTCACCAATTTCGGAAACACGACTATTTATAATATTTTATTGTATTTATTTTAAATTATGTAGCATTCTCTGGAACTAGCTGTTAGCGAGTCTTGCTTAGCATAGCTTAGCATAGCTTTAAAGTTTGATCTTGTGGGAAATTCACTCATTTGCTGTGAGCACAAAAGTTCAACAAGAAAATCAATACCACCCTCATAAATATCATTACTATGGAGCTGCAGACAGCAACCAGTTAGCTTAGCTTAGCAAAAAGACTGGGCTACTAGCATTACAAATTATCATGTCACTTAATTAGGACTAAAAAGCAAATGTGAAAATGTCATTCTGTAGTTGTATTGGGCTTCGTGTGACATGTTAATTAGTGAGCTGTTTCCAGTCTTTCTGCTATGCTAGGCTAACTAGCTGCTCAGTGCTAGCCATAGCATCTTCTCATTTAGTAATGACGTAAAAGTGAATGAAAATATATTTTCTAAAATGTTAAACTAGTCCTTCACTCGACTGAAAGGAGAACACACAAACAAGGAACTCCGTATGGTATTATGATTTTCTTAACCCTATTATTATTATCACGTTAGCATACTTTATGCTCTTCTTTCCTGACAGCTTGGAGTTTGATTTAGAGGATGCACTGCACAACGGTAAGCTCTGGTTAAAAACAAAAAACAAAAAAAAAGTATGCACATAAATACCTCACAGTTAATCGAGTTTCAGAGATAAACTTGAAAGCTAACCCTCACATAATTTTTTTTAAGGAATAGTTTTGGGAAGTATATTTATTTTCTTGAGACTGGAAATGGGAAAACAGTCAGTGGGCTTAGCTTAACTTGGCACAAAAACTGGAAATGAAGAACCAGAAGGTGAGCCTAGCTTAGCTCAGCACATTGACTGGAAATGGAGAGACTGTAGGTTAGCTTAGCTTAGCACAAAGACTGAAAATGGAGAAACTGTAGGTTAGCTTAGCTTAGCACAAAGACTAGAAATGTGGAAACAGTAGGCTAGCTTAGCTTAGCACAAATACTGGAAATGGAGAAACAGTAGACAGACAGTACTCGGACAAAACAAAGTATAAAAATTTACATTTGCTATGAGGAATTTTTAGGTACTTGTAAAAAAGAAAAGGATATTATTTGGGCAGTTGGGTCCCTGAGTTTCACTTTTGTGCTAACTGAAGCTAACTGGCTGCTAGCTTTACCTTAAATGGCAGATATGTGAGCAGTATTGAGCTTCACTTCTAAGTCTCATCAGAAAGAACATTAACATACTTCCCAAAATGCCAAAACTATTCCTTCACAAGTCACGTCACTAAACTGCACTAAACTGTCGCTGCATGTGATCACCGCTGATTTTAACCTCCACCGTAATCAGAAAGGACTCTCTTCCAGAATCACACCGATGAAAGGGAAGCTGAAGCATCAAACGATTGTCAAAACATTTGTGTTTAAGTCTGTAAAGTCAATTTTTCTATTTGCAGACCCGCGAAAGCCTGACGCGAAGGACAAAGTGAAAGAAGAAGCCCTCGTGAAACAAAAAAGTGCCCCCTCGAACAAATCCGCTCCCCCCGAAGCCCCTGAAGATGCCGAAAAAGAAAAGGCAGAGGAAGGAGCTGCTGTCAGTAAGGAGGCAGCTCCAGCAGGCAGCCCGACTAAAAAGAAAAAAAACAAAACTAAGAAAGATTCTTCCTCTTCTTCTTCTTCTTCTTCATCCTCCTCCTCCTCCTCCTCTTCATCTTCCTCTTCCTCCTCTGAGTCTGAGAATGAAAAGGAAAAGCCTAAAACTGAGAACGAGGAGGCCAAAGCTTGATCCTTCACAGCTTCTTGTCTGCTCTGTGTGTTTTTTTCAGTTTCAGTTGAAAAATGTCACATTAACACTGTTAAGGTGTGTTTTCTCAGGTGTCAGTGAAATAAAGACATTTGGAAACTGAAGCTCCGTGTGTCATGGACTCTTTTTAAAACAAATATATAAATTATAAAGCAATCACTCACCTCTGTACAATATAATAAGATTCCCAACAAGGCCTACACGATCAAAATATGCAATTATTGAAACAAAATTTCCTCTTTATTTTACAGATTTAGTTTGAAATACACAAAAAATATCAATAAAATTACAATAACAAACTGAATTTACAGATCTAATGTAAAATGACATTACCTGCAACCATGAATAAACATTAAACTTCACAAATATTTGCTTTTATTTTAATAGATGATCACATTTTTTCAGTTTATACATTTTAAAAATGTTAATACGGTGAAAATATGCCTAAAAATTGAACCAATTTGTGATAATAAACAGAAAAAAGAAGCATCGGTTCTATAATCGTACATGGATTTCTTTGTTAAATGAGATATTTCTTGCAACAACATAATCTTTCACAACTAAAATATTGAATGAGTGTGTTTTCATGCCTGTGAAATATCTAGAAATTCTGGTAATCTGCCGAAATATAGTGTTTTATCATCATATATGTTATATTTCATATGTAATTCATTGTTTTTCACGAGTAAATAGACTTTTAGAAACAATAAAAAGCCCCAAAATGCAGATGAACCCATAAAATTACACCTAAAAATATGTTTTAATTACAGAAAATTACAGAATTTGTACGAGACGGTGATTTTTTTTTTTGCTGAAGCTTGAAACAAACTGCAAACAACCAACTTTTTCTTGTGTCAAAAAAGACTTTAAACAGCCCAGGTAGCATCGTTTAATGTATTTTTAATCCCAACAAGTGGCTCAAAACCCCTGAAATATTAACTTAGCCATAATGTAATAGCAATAAGGGCCTTTAGTCGTTAAATATTTGCCATGTTTTTGAATAAATCATCCATCTGTGCAGAACAAAGCAAACATGACACAATGATGTGATCAGGGGTTGAAACTTACAGCTTCTGCTCCTCCGAATGCAGTAATATGAGTTAACACCAAACCAGATGTAGTTCAATTTTACAAATATTGTGAATTATTGTGAGAAACAATGTGGAGTGTATGTTTAAGATTCCTTCAAAGTTACTCACTAGTCATGTGTCATTTGGTTTTATCACAAAATGAACGAATTTCAGCTGTGATGTCGGCGTACAAAACATCAAAAACAGTCACCAACTCAAACATGGTGTGAATTTGCTGATCAATAAAGGACCAGATAGCCTTTAAAAGTCAACAAAACAGGACAAAACTCCACTTATAGCCATTTCCAACACATGCAGCTCACTTAATTCCATCTTCTCCACATCTCCTGCTACTTTCATCAACTGCAAAGTCAAACAATTTGACTGATAACCGATTATAATTTGCAGGTATCAATAAAAGTCGGAGTCAAAAGTGCTTTTTTAAAGAGTGATTTATTTTGTTTTCTCAAATGACAATGGTACAGACGACATGAAAGCACGGAGAGGAATCATCCAATACATGGATACGGCATGGTGAGGGCCGAGGGGCAAGCAAGAGTACCAAATGGAGTAAAAGATATCGTATCAAAAATTTCATTTTTTTTTCTCATATATATATTTATATAGGACTAATAATTCTCTTTAACTATGCAAAGCAAGGAATGCCCTTTTTTCCATTTATCTTGAGCCGTGGCTTTCCCTAAGTACAGCCAACGTTATGATCATCCAAATAATAATAATTAAAAAAAACAAAGAGGCTGGGCGGGCGGGGCGGGGCGAGGGCGTCCTGGAGTCCTGTCCGGTGTGGCGTTGAGTCTCGTTGGGCGTGTCCACGGGGGTTTGGATTGGTCGGGTGGAGGTCGGCCTCAGCGGGAGAAGGTTTTACCACTGGGAAGGCAAGAAAAATAAAAAAATCAGACAAAAGATCAAACCACTGGTGAAAACAAAGCTACAAGCATGTAGTTAGCTTAGCTTAGCATCAAGGTAAAAGACAGGTGGAGCCCATTAGCATCTCTAAACAGGTAGCCGACATGTTAGTAGAAGGAGCCAAGAATTAATCCAGCACATGAATCCCCGTAAAACCGCAGTGTTTTCTTTGCTCCTGTTTCTTTTTGTTGGCTCATTTTTCATTTCAACATAAAGTCCTGCACCTGTGTGGAAACAACACAACCACGGCTAGAAGTAGAGACGACTAGAAAGTGTTTTTTGTGCAGTTATGATGCCATAAATCAGAACAAAAGGGGGAAAAGTTGAATTTAACAGATCCGAGATGTGCAGTATTTTTTTCCGAGTGCTCACAGATGTTAATATTGCTGGAAAAAAAACTCTAAATATTATCGATATTTTTTTACGTAGAGTTTTGATATATTTTTACATTCGTGTCTCACATGATTTTTGGTGACAGCTGAGTCATTATTGGCTTTTTGATTGTTTTTTTCCCCCCAGAACTCCCACAAACTGTTTAAATGTTCAATAATTTCATGAAACGTCGCACTCTTCAAGAAGCTCCGACGAGTTTTCCGTTGGTTCTTTCTGTTTTTACAGTTCATATATTCTGTCCGTGTTTGTTTAAGAAAACACGTCTGTTGAGTTCGTGCGAAGCGGATTGTGTTTCCTTCATCATATTTCAAACTTAGCGTGACGAGAACAAATATTTGTGGCGTCTTTTATCTGTTGTATATCATAACCCTTGACACTTTGGTTTTATTTTCCTGAGCTCAGTTTATCTTTTTCTCGTAACCAACCAGAGGATTCTCATTAAATGTCCGTCTTCCCTCGAAGATGGCAGCTAGCAGGATGCTCCTCTTGTTTCAGTTACACATTACCCACAGAACAAAGACTCTCTGTGTAAATTTCCCAATTATTGCAGGCTGAGAAGAGACGTGTGCGACTATTTGGAGGTTTTTAGCAAAACTAGGAGCGTAAAAAATTCCATTCTGACTCATATCAAACACCGTGAAAGCTGTGCGGACAGCGACACACCTCCAAAACCCACACAGATTCAGAGATAGCAGGAATGAAAGGAAAATACTTTTATCTTTTAAAAAAATCAAATTAAAAAAAGTGTCATCTCAAGATGGATTCTGCTTGTTTGTAACCGCGAAAACCTGCTCATGAACATTCCTGCAGGTCTTTATGTAAGATCGAAAAGGTAAAAAGGAGGCTTGTATGTCATAAAATATGACCTGATCACAGAATTACGCCTCTTGTACCTTCTTACGCTCATGCATCATCGTTTCAGACGTTTGATGTGCGATCTGTGGAGGGTGCAGAGCGAGCAGAGGCTACTCACGAGATGGTCTTCATCTCCTTCTTCTCAGCGTCGGGTCGAGCGCGATTCAGCACCTTGAGGAAGTCTGACGTCTTGGCCCTCATACGTGTGTGAATGTAGGCCTGCAGGGGAGAGGAACAGGAGGTCGTCAGTGCACAGCAACCATCACGATTTGCCTCATGAGCTCGGAATCGATCTCAGAGGGGATTAAGATAAACATGTTCTCGTCATCCAGCTTCTCAGCCGTCCATAACTCCCATCACCCACGCCGACTCCCCGCTGTCTTAACACTCAAACATCCGGTTCCATTATCTGTCGCGCGATCGCCGGCTTCAAACAAACCAAAACAAAAGCCCGTCTCATGCCTCCACACTGTAAGTCATTCAAAACATGGCTTTGATTAGGGCTTACAGCTGAGAGGAGACATCCGAAGCATGTCCCGTATTGCGTGTCGTGTACACAAACGCCCCCCCAAAAAAACCTGTGTGATGACTTGAGGGTGGTGGAACAAGTCCTGCCCAGGTAGGGCTGAGCTCACCTGTGGCTGGACTTTCTATTGTAGAGAAAACGGAGGATGGAACGTACGATTACAGAGGAGGGCTTTACAACTCGTCCGTGGTCTGTGATTTGAGTTGGCTTTCTGTTCCACAGGTTCCTCCTTCGTTTTCATTGTGCAGAAAAAATGTTAAACTTCTCATGAGATCACAGAGTCCAACGCTAACAGAATATCTTTGTAGAAGTTACAGAAAGTAAAGCTGAAGCAGTCGAGAAGGTCGATGGTTCAAGCGGCCGCTGTCGTGCCCTAAACGCATCTGACCCCGGCTTCCAAAACAAGTTGGAATATGCAAAAAGACAACTTCCCCTGCAGNTAGCTTAGCTTAGCAAAAAGACTGGGCTACTAGCATTACAAATTAATGTCATTTAATTAGGACTAAAAAGCAAATGTGAAAATGTCATTCTGTAGTTGTATTGGGCTTCGTGTGACATGTTAATTAGTGAGCTGTTTCCAGTCTTTCTGCTATGCTAGGCTAACTAGCTGCTCAGTGCTAGCCATAGCATCTTCTCATTTAGTAATGACGTAAAAGTGAATGAAAATATATTTTCTAAAATGTTAAACTAGTCCTTCACTCGACTGAAAGGAGAACACACAAACAAGGAACTCCGTATGGTATTATGATTTTCTTAACCCTATTATTATTATCACGTTAGCATACTTTATGCTCTTCTTTCCTGACAGCTTGGAGTTTGATTTAGAGGATGCACTGCACAACGGTAAGCTCTGGTTAAAAACAAAAAACAAAAAAAAAGTATGCACATAAATACCTCACAGTTAATCGAGTTTCAGAGATAAACTTGAAAGCTAACCCTCACATAATTTTTTTTAAGGAATAGTTTTGGGAAGTATATTTATTTTCTTGAGACTGGAAATGGGAAAACAGTCAGTGGGCTTAGCTTAACTTGGCACAAAAACTGGAAATGAAGAACCAGAAGGTGAGCCTAGCTTAGCTCAGCACATTGACTGGAAATGGAGAGACTGTAGGTTAGCTTAGCTTAGCACAAAGACTGAAAATGGAGAAACTGTAGGTTAGCTTAGCTTAGCACAAAGACTAGAAATGTGGAAACAGTAGGCTAGCTTAGCTTAGCACAAATACTGGAAATGGAGAAACAGTAGACAGACAGTACTCGGACAAAACAAAGTATAAAAATTTACATTTGCTATGAGGAATTTTTAGGTACTTGTAAAAAAGAAAAGGATATTATTTGGGCAGTTGGGTCCCTGAGTTTCACTTTTGTGCTAACTGAAGCTAACTGGCTGCTAGCTTTACCTTAAATGGCAGATATGTGAGCAGTATTGAGCTTCACTTCTAAGTCTCATCAGAAAGAACATTAACATACTTCCCAAAATGCCAAAACTATTCCTTCACAAGTCACGTCACTAAACTGCACTAAACTGTCGCTGCATGTGATCACCGCTGATTTTAACCTCCACCGTAATCAGAAAGGACTCTCTTCCAGAATCACACCGATGAAAGGGAAGCTGAAGCATCAAACGATTGTCAAAACATTTGTGTTTAAGTCTGTAAAGTCAATTTTTCTATTTGCAGACCCGCGAAAGCCTGACGCGAAGGACAAAGTGAAAGAAGAAGCCCTCGTGAAACAAAAAAGTGCCCCCTCGAACAAATCCGCTCCCCCCGAAGCCCCTGAAGATGCCGAAAAAGAAAAGGCAGAGGAAGGAGCTGCTGTCAGTAAGGAGGCAGCTCCAGCAGGCAGCCCGACTAAAAAGAAAAAAAACAAAACTAAGAAAGATTCTTCCTCTTCTTCTTCTTCTTCTTCATCCTCCTCCTCCTCCTCCTCTTCATCTTCCTCTTCCTCCTCTGAGTCTGAGAATGAAAAGGAAAAGCCTAAAACTGAGAACGAGGAGGCCAAAGCTTGATCCTTCACAGCTTCTTGTCTGCTCTGTGTGTTTTTTTCAGTTTCAGTTGAAAAATGTCACATTAACACTGTTAAGGTGTGTTTTCTCAGGTGTCAGTGAAATAAAGACATTTGGAAACTGAAGCTCCGTGTGTCATGGACTCTTTTTAAAACAAATATATAAATTATAAAGCAATCACTCACCTCTGTACAATATAATAAGATTCCCAACAAGGCCTACACGATCAAAATATGCAATTATTGAAACAAAATTTCCTCTTTATTTTACAGATTTAGTTTGAAATACACAAAAATAATCAATAAAATTACAATAACAAACTGAATTTACAGATCTAATGTAAAATGACATTACCTGCAACCATGAATAAACATTAAACTTCACAAATATTTGCTTTTATTTTAATAGATGATCACATTTTTTCAGTTTATACATTTTAAAAATGTTAATACGGTGAAAATATGCCTAAAAATTGAACCAATTTGTGATAATAAACAGAAAAAAGAAGCATCGGTTCTATAATCGTACATGGATTTCTTTGTTAAATGAGATATTTCTTGCAACAACATAATCTTTCACAACTAAAATATTGAATGAGTGTGTTTTCATGCCTGTGAAATATCTAGAAATTCTGGTAATCTGCCGAAATATAGTGTTTTATCATCATATATGTTATATTTCATATGTAATTCATTGTTTTTCACGAGTAAATAGACTTTTAGAAACAATAAAAAGCCCCAAAATGCAGATGAACCCATAAAATTACACCTAAAAATATGTTTTAATTACAGAAAATTACAGAATTTGTACGAGACGGTGATTTTTTTTTTTGCTGAAGCTTGAAACAAACTGCAAACAACCAACTTTTTCTTGTGTCAAAAAAGACTTTAAACAGCCCAGGTAGCATCGTTTAATGTATTTTTAATCCCAACAAGTGGCTCAAAACCCCTGAAATATTAACTTAGCCATAATGTAATAGCAATAAGGGCCTTTAGTCGTTAAATATTTGCCATGTTTTTGAATAAATCATCCATCTGTGCAGAACAAAGCAAACATGACACAATGATGTGATCAGGGGTTGAAACTTACAGCTTCTGCTCCTCCGAATGCAGTAATATGAGTTAACACCAAACCAGATGTAGTTCAATTTTACAAATATTGTGAATTATTGTGAGAAACAATGTGGAGTGTATGTTTAAGATTCCTTCAAAGTTACTCACTAGTCATGTGTCATTTGGTTTTATCACAAAATGAACGAATTTCAGCTGTGATGTCGGCGTACAAAACATCAAAAACAGTCACCAACTCAAACATGGTGTGAATTTGCTGATCAATAAAGGACCAGATAGCCTTTAAAAGTCAACAAAACAGGACAAAACTCCACTTATAGCCATTTCCAACACATGCAGCTCACTTAATTCCATCTTCTCCACATCTCCTGCTACTTTCATCAACTGCAAAGTCAAACAATTTGACTGATAACCGATTATAATTTGCAGGTATCAATAAAAGTCGGAGTCAAAAGTGCTTTTTTAAAGAGTGATTTATTTTGTTTTCTCAAATGACAATGGTACAGACGACATGAAAGCACGGAGAGGAATCATCCAATACATGGATACGGCATGGTGAGGGCCGAGGGGCAAGCAAGAGTACCAAATGGAGTAAAAGATATCGTATCAAAAATTTCATTTTTTTTTCTCATATATATATTTATATAGGACTAATAATTCTCTTTAACTATGCAAAGCAAGGAATGCCCTTTTTTCCATTTATCTTGAGCCGTGGCTTTCCCTAAGTACAGCCAACGTTATGATCATCCAAATAATAATAATTAAAAAAAACAAAGAGGCTGGGCGGGCGGGGCGGGGCGAGGGCGTCCTGGAGTCCTGTCCGGTGTGGCGTTGAGTCTCGTTGGGCGTGTCCACGGGGGTTTGGATTGGTCGGGTGGAGGTCGGCCTCAGCGGGAGAAGGTTTTACCACTGGGAAGGCAAGAAAAATAAAAAAATCAGACAAAAGATCAAACCACTGGTGAAAACAAAGCTACAAGCATGTAGTTAGCTTAGCTTAGCATCAAGGTAAAAGACAGGTGGAGCCCATTAGCATCTCTAAACAGGTAGCCGACATGTTAGTAGAAGGAGCCAAGAATTAATCCAGCACATGAATCCCCGTAAAACCGCAGTGTTTTCTTTGCTCCTGTTTCTTTTTGTTGGCTCATTTTTCATTTCAACATAAAGTCCTGCACCTGTGTGGAAACAACACAACCACGGCTAGAAGTAGAGACGACTAGAAAGTGTTTTTTGTGCAGTTATGATGCCATAAATCAGAACAAAAGGGGGAAAAGTTGAATTTAACAGATCCGAGATGTGCAGTATTTTTTTCCGAGTGCTCACAGATGTTAATATTGCTGGAAAAAAAACTCTAAATATTATCGATATTTTTTTACGTAGAGTTTTGATATATTTTTACATTCGTGTCTCACATGATTTTTGGTGACAGCTGAGTCATTATTGGCTTTTTGATTGTTTTTTTCCCCCCAGAACTCCCACAAACTGTTTAAATGTTCAATAATTTCATGAAACGTCGCACTCTTCAAGAAGCTCCGACGAGTTTTCCGTTGGTTCTTTCTGTTTCTACAGTTCATATATTCTGTCCGTGTTTGTTTAAGAAAACACGTCTGTTGAGTTCGTGCGAAGCGGATTGTGTTTCCTTCATCATATTTCAAACTTAGCGTGACGAGAACAAATATTTGTGGCGTCTTTTATCTGTTGTATATCATAACCCTTGACACTTTGGTTTTATTCTCCTGAGCTCAGTTTATCTTTTTCTCGTAACCAACCAGAGGATTCTCATTAAATGTCCGTCTTCCCTCGAAGATGGCAGCAAGCAGGATGCTCCTCTTGTTTCAGTTACACATTACCCACAGAACAAAGACTCTCTGTGTAAATTTCCCAATTATTGCAGGCTGAGAAGAGACGTGTGCGACTATTTGGAGGTTTTTAGCAAAACTAGGAACGTAAAAAATTCCATTCTGACTCATATCAAACACCGTGAAAGCTGTGCGGACAGCGACACACCTCCAAAACCCACACAGATTCAGAGATAGCAGGAATGAAAGGAAAATACTTTTATCTTTTAAAAAAATCAAATTAAAAAAAGTGTCATCTCAAGATGGATTCTGCTTGTTTGTAACCGCGAAAACCTGCTCATGAACATTCCTGCAGGTCTTTATGTAAGATCGAAAAGGTAAAAAGGAGGCTTGTATGTCATAAAATATGACCTGATCACAGAATTACGCCTCTTGTACCTTCTTACGCTCATGCATCATCGTTTCAGACGTTTGATGTGCGATCTGTGGAGGGTGCAGAGCGAGCAGAGGCTACTCACGAGATGGTCTTCATCTCCTTCTTCTCAGCGTCGGGTCGAGCGCGATTCAGCACCTTGAGGAAGTCTGACGTCTTGGCCCTCATACGTGTGTGAATGTAGGCCTGCAGGGGAGAGGAACAGGAGGTCGTCAGTGCACAGCAACCATCACGATTTGCCTCATGAGCTCGGAATCGATCTCAGAGGGGATTAAGATAAACATGTTCTCGTCATCCAGCTTCTCAGCCGTCCATAACTCCCATCACCCACGCTGACTCCCCCACTCAAACATCCGGTTCCATTATCTGTCGCGCGATCGCCGGCTTCAAACAAACCAAAACAAAAGCCCGTCTCATGCCTCCACACTGTAAGTCATCCAAAACATGGCTTTGATTAGGGCTTACAGCTGAGAGGAGACATCCGAAGCATGTCCCGTATTGCGTGTCGTGTACACAAACGCCCCCCCAAAAAAACCTGTGTGATGACTTGAGGGTGGTGGAACAAGTCCTGCCCAGGTAGGGCTGAGCTCACCTGTGGCTGGACTTTCTATTGTAGAGAAAACGGAGGATGGAACGTACGATTACAGAGGAGGGCTTTACAACTCGTCCGTGGTCTGTGATTTGAGTTGGCTTTCTGTTCCACAGGTTCCTCCTTCGTTTTCATTGTGCAGAAAAAATCTTAAACTTCTCATGAGATCACAGAGTCCAACGCTAACAGAATATCTTTGTAGAAGTTACAGAAAGTGAAGCTGAAGCAGTCGAGAAGGTCGATGGTTCAAGCGGCCGCTGTCGTGCCCTAAACGCATCTGACCCCGGCTTCCAAAACAAGTTGGAATATGCAAAAAGACAACTTCCCCTGCAGGATCAATAAATAAAAAAATGAAATAACCCCAAAACAAGCACTTGTTATGAGCCAACAAAGATCCACGACTTGTTTCTGCAGAACAGTTTGAGACCAGCTTGTAGAAAATATACCTTCATTCATTCAGTCTCAAAAAACTAAAGTTCTGTTTCCTCGTCGGGCAAATTATTAAATGAGACGTAAAATAAATCATGTTTTCCGGATGAATCTGACAAGAAGTGTTTTAATTTTGCAGATTATTGGGGTTTAGTCGTTTGTGTTACCTCATGACAGAGCAACGCTTGCAGTTTCCCCTCCTTATTTTTGTTGCTAGAACTGTGGGACATCTGAATTTAAGCTCACCTTGGAGCACTTTATGTGGTAGTGCAGGTAGTCCCTGAAGGTGTGGATGAGGTTGATGGTGTTGTCTCTGGCATTGGCATTGGTGTGACGTGGGAACAGGACTGGAAAAAAGGGCAGAAACATCAAATCAAATGAGTGTATTGTGTGATTAAACTGGGAGAAGGCTTTAGTTTCTGCTGTGTGCTGACCAAAGGTGATGTATCCAATGTTGTCCCCGACGGCGGCATCTGTGTCCTTCAGCTCCAGAGGAGGCTCCCGGTGGCTGAACAGCACCTGGGGGGCTGTGTGGCTCGCTCTCCGGCCCTCTTTGAACTCCTTCACACAGTAAAAGCAAGGATAGAGCAACGTTAGTGCCTTTTAATGAACAGGTTTCATTTTAAATGAGCCTTCTGAACTGTACATTTTGTTTAAAATGATGCACCGTTATTCCTATCAGCACACAGAGGGGTGAGGAGTAAGGACACTGGGGTGAGATAGAGCATCATGCTCTATCACCAGACTGCGTGCAATATTTAGGCACTTTGGCAATTTGTTACTGTATCCATTATTGTTGTTGTTATTATTGTTATTATTATTATTACTAATGTTGTGTTGGTGTTGTGTTGTTATTAGTACAACAATTTCCCTGAGGTACCCTACCAAAGGGATCAATACAGTTCTATCTGATCTAATCTAATCTAGACAAAGGTGTAAAGCTAGTTAGCTTCTGTAGTTAGCAGTTAACAGACTGCTGCAGTCAGCTTAGAACGTTAGCTTGGAGAAGTTAGCTTGACTGAGAAGGATAAGCTAAGTAGCGAGAAGGAAATAAGTTTAGTATCTAAATATTCTGTGACTTTTTCCCGTATTTCTCTCTACAGAACACATGAAGGTGTTAGCTAGTAAGTTAGTAGATCGTTAGATAGCTTAGAACGTTAGCTTTGCCAACATTAGCAATCATTGGAACTTAAAAAGTTAGCTTATTTGCTAACTTATCAAATAAATAAGTAAGACGCATATTTTTCCCCCGCTATTTGTAAGTAACTGGAATTTTTGTTAAACAAATTGTATTTTTTGGGTTACTCCTGCAAAAACTAGAGTTGTTTTTTAAAAGAAGTTAGCGTAAATAAAAACATTAGCTTAATGGTAAACAAAGAAATATGTTTCATGTCAACAAATTCTGTAACTTTTTTCCTTATTCTTTCAAAGAGGTTTTAACTAATTAGCGTACGTAGTTGGAAACAGGCTGCTTAAGTTAATGAACTTGATATGTTTGCATTAGAACTTAAAAGGTAAGTTATGTCACTAAATTAAATTAGCCATGTGTTTTTTTTTTAGCAACCACTTAGCTATGTCACAGTCAAATGCGACATACTGATGCTACATTTGGTGTAATACGAGGTTTCCTGTTCTGACTTTAGAGCGTTACCTCCACTTATACCAGACAGACACCTTTAGTTAACCTCTGAGCAGCGACACATGAGCAGCCAACACAGGCAAAGGTGATATGAATGAGCCAGACATAATAACCACTCATTTTAATACCTATTTGTTGATACCATGTGTAGCTTTTTCCACCAAGAGAGAGATAACAGAGATTTTCAACAGTCACAGTTTGAACAATACGACATAAGGGTAGCATTAATCTAAGCAGGTTGTTAATAAGTCGTGTGCTCAAACTGGACAAGATTGTGTATCGCCAGCTAAAGCGACTAAAAATGTCCTTGGAAATGTAGTTTTTTTGGGTTTCATGTCAGTAATACTTCCAAATGTGCATTGACAGCCACACGGCTAGAGACGGTCTTCATAACGCCACACACCTGCATGAAGACTTTGCCGATGATGACGTCGTCGTCGTCTTTGAACACTGTGCTGAACACCACCGTCACTCTGTCTTTCTTGGCCTCCACGTACCTGTGGCGACAACACATCAGTCAGCACCACAAAACCTTCACAGGATTACAAACCGGAGGAAGACCTTAACGGACAAAATCCCACAAACACTAGACCTTTCAGTCCTAAGCTGAGACCTGGCTCATTAAAAACAACCTTCTGTTTTTCTAAAGGTTTCTCACAGCCTTTACATAAGCTACCAGCTGAACTAAAAGCTTCCGATCTCTCCCCGACGTACATGGACTCGTCGTCTCTGTAGTGGACCACGGCCCTGCTTTCGCCCTCTTTGCCTTCCTCCTGGAACTTGAAGTACTTCTCAAACACCGAGGCGAAGCAGTTTCTCTTCAGCATGCCAGCCTGGTGAACGACCTCGTCTTTGTTGGTGGGTAGAGCGTCCAGGTCGTACAGGAGGGACACGTTGTAGCCTGAAAGGAAGACGGCCGGAAACAAGACATGATTTTAATGTCTCATTGTTTTGCATTTACCATTCACAGTTTTCTAGAAACCCTCTGAACCCCAAGCAGTTGCTTTACCGTCAGATTTTGACTCATTGTGGGCTAATTTTTTCCTGCAACATAAAGTCCTGCACTTCTATGGAAGAGAGAGAGAACTCAGAAATATTTTGTGTTCAGTGTGAGACAGTTCTAATGACATAAATCATTTAAAAAAAGAAAAAAAAACCTTTTGAATACTCTAGATATTTTACTACTTACGATTTAAATAGTTTCCATACTTGTCTCCTGTAAACACTGCCTGCAGTTCAGCTGAATTTCTGGCATGTTGCTCACAGCCGAGTCGTTCATTTTAACAGAATCTGGTTGGTGCACACTGTTCAGATTCAGCAAATGTTTGGAGCAAGGTGATTTAGATTAGATATCATGATTTGGTTGTTTTCTGATTGAACGTCACAGATGAGTGGTGAAAGAATGAAAAGATGATGATTCTCTGGTATGGTAGAGCCATGTTGGTGATTTTTCTGAATATTTATGCGGCTTTAAACCCAGACAGCAGGTTTTGGGGTTCAGAGGTTCACCAGTAATTTATAAAAAAGAATATTGGCAAACTTTCTGAGAACTTACCAGCCTCTGTTGGAGCCAGGAAATTCCCATAAACCCTCTTGAGCAGCTGAAATTTAAAATACGACGGTTATTTGTGTTGCACTTCTCTAAAAGCGGGTTTCAAAAGCAGCACTTCACAGAAAGACAATGACACAGAAGCAAACGGGGAAAAAAAAGGTCAAATCTTTGGTCACAGGAAAGAAACAATTAGACTTGTGGTCTAAACAATGTGTGATTACTCTAATTATGTATATTTTGTCCAGGCTTTGAGTCTGATGCTGCTGCTGCTGCCTTGATGCCAGAACAGAGAACAGGTCCGTAGAGGGAAAGAGAATTCTTTTGATCACTCTTTTCAGAATGATTCCCACTTCAGCGATTTTCACAGGAATCCTCTGAGACGAAGCAGGAGGTTTAAAGAAATGTCAACACCAGTAACCGCAGAGACAGATAAGCAAACCTGCTGCACAATACAGGACTTGTGCAGCGGCAGGAAGGAGGTGTTTGTCTTCTGCAGGTAACTGAGGAGGGGGGCCTCCTAATAACCACCTGTCATTCTAAAATGAACCCAGGCAGCAGAAATATGCAAATCAGACGCAGGTATGGCAATAATGCACCACCAAAAGTCAACAAAATAAATCTCCTGCGTTCTGACATTGTTCCTCATATTCAATCTCGGCTCTGTTTTAGTGGAGCCGGACTGGAGAAGAATGTGCGAGAATAAACAGTCCCTTTGACAAAACAGCACACTGTCTCCTCTGACTGCTTTCCAGGCAGACTTTTCATCCGACTGGCTGTGACACCGCTGAGCCCCATTCACTCATCCCTCCGCTCTCGAGTCGAAGGGAACGAAGAGGGAAGTCTCTGGACGGCAGCCAAACCCGTTCACACACTCGCAGTCAGCGCTTCCTCGCCTGCAGTGACTCACACCGGCTCACTTCCTGTTTCGACCAGAAGCCTCAGCAGCTGCTTTCTTCCTTACATGGCAACAGAAGCTCTGCTGCTGGAGGTGTGTGAGTGTGCACAGTGTGAAAATGACCTCATTCTACTTCTTTTTTTGTGTCTGTTAAAACATCTGATTGACATCAAAATCCAACTTTGACAGCGTTCTTGTCTGAGCTCAGTGCTACAGTGAGCAGGTTCAGGTTTGAAGGTATATTACCGCTGAAATTACAAGAATGCGATAAAAACCAGCTCTCAGAAGACAGCATGCAATTTATTCTGGCACCAGAGGCAGTGTGTGAGAAAACCACAAACACATTGTAAAGACAAGATAATCAGCTCTTGATTTGTGATATCGTAATTTTAGACAGTTTGGGCTATTTTCCGTGCTGCTCTACCCGTCATGAGGATGTGAAACAAGACGTCTGTGTTATAAAAAGACACTCTTATGTCTCTTTTTTCTGTTCTACCTCGTCAGCGCCGTGCTCCTGCAGCTCCTTGTAGAACTTCAGCGAGATGCTGACCATCACTTTGGTCTTGTCCCCGTTGGGGTTGGAGATGTGGTACAAGACGCCATCGAAATCTGCAGCGGAGACGGACAAACGTTAGCGGCCGCAGGTGATGAACGCGGGACGAGCTCCTGAGGCTCTTTCCTTCTGACACACTGACACATTTTGTACTTGGACAAACGTCTTAATTAGCAACCTTAATGCACATCAGTACATTTAATTATGTCACTCAGTTCTACATGCAGCGTTTACTGGCAGAGAGTGAAGAAACAGCCCACATTTTTCCACAATTTCCAGACCAAACGATTAACGTACAAAACAAAGAAAATAATCATTAGTTGCAACCGTAGTTAAAAATCTGTTTCACCTCCAACAACAACCTTTGTAATAAACACATAGAAAACATGCTGGCTCTAAATCTAATTGTCTGCTTTAGTTATTAAGCACACAGAAACACCAAATATTAGTTGTAGTTTACTAAGAAAATAAAGAAAACTCCCACAGGTGTTACACTAAACACTGCAGGACACATTAGAGGGCAGCTGTCATGCAGGGTTTTTTTTTTTCTCTACAGCTGTTAAACATGTGGAAACAAATTCTTTCAACAAATATTGGAAGACATTTGCAGGTTCAGGCTTTGGTGTGGTGATCTAAACTACAAACAACGATGTGGTAGCCTCACTTAAGATGGCATCACGACATGTAAAAGACATTTCTCAATAGATATCTACCACCAATCAAACAACAAGCCGCGTAGCTGTTTGGTGAGATTTAAAAAGAGGAATCTGCAGTCAACGGGGAAGCTGCTCACCTGCGAACGTCACATCGACGGCCTCTGGTTTGGTTCTGCAGGGAGAAAAGAAAATGAAGAGACGGCTGTAGTCTGTGAAGCTTTTGATAGTGTCTGATCGATTGAATACTATAACGAAGCAAGCCCCCAAACAGATCCCAGATCCAGCTTTTTCAACTGAGGATGTGAAGATGTGCAGCTTTCCTTACATTAAATTAAAGATCCAACCCTTAGCTTTAGAAGGTCTGACATTCTAGAAGCTAAAAATACTATTTACCCAGATATGAATGTGCAGACGGATCAACAATCCAAACATAGATGCAAACATACACAGATGCAACCTAAGACGGTCTCTGTTTGCTGATATTCATATTCCAGAATCTTACATAATCGCCGGTATTTTTATTCGCAGCGTCTTATTTTTAAAAGCATTGTTTTGGGGGGATGCGCAGCAGTAAGTGAATACTTTTCGTGGCGGATGCTGCAGCGACTTGTCCAAGCTGCATACTGTGCATGCTTCTAGGAGCCGCTGCCGGCTCTGCACGGAGTCAAAGGCTTGACTCAGCTTGACTGCAGGAATGCGGAAGCTGGAGAGAGAGGGGTGTGTGTGTGTGTTAGCTCGTATGTAGCCGCTTGGAAAGGATGCAAATTTATGTCCTTTATGAAGCGATAAAAGCACGACAATAAAACGGGATCAGCTGTGTGATTAGTGTATAATGAGAGGGGACACCAGCTAGAAGCAGTTTTATTATGCTGACAGACCTGTTGGTGCAATTATCCTCATGTCTATGTATTATTTTACCTGCTCTGTACCCCACGTTATAACCAATCCATATGAGATGGCATTAAAGGAGCACTTCCAATTATATAAAGCAGTTTGTCACTTGTCAAAAAGTGACTGCAGCTTTGCCATTGCACTTGAAATGCACCACACTGACTTGATTTCATCCATCAGGGTTATATTTTACAAATTGTAGACCATAAGACAATTGAAAAAGCCATAATTCATTCATGTATATTTAACGTCTATCTTTAAATCATGTTAATTAGAGTCTAAGCAAGAATATTACACACACCAAACCAACTAAACAAGAGAAACAACACTATAGCAGGGCCTATAGTCAGTAAATATTAGGCCTGATTACTCTAAAATTGTATTTTTTAGTGATGACAGTCCATAAAGTGTCACATAGACCCCTCTGCTGTCACACAGCTGTGTGTACTTGCACGTATTACTGTTAAATTCACATAAAAGTGGCTGTAGATTCATATAAACTGGGTTTAATAAGAAGGGCACAATGTTAATGCACCAATTAATATAATAATTAATATATTTTTTAAGTTTGTGGCTTTAAATCAACATATAAAACAGTTTGGCCTCCGTCAAATGTAAAAAATAATGATAAATAAATAAAAATACCAGCAACCACCAACAGCTGAGTTACGGTTAGCTAGCTACTTTCATGCTATGCAACCTCAAAAAATGTTTTAAATTGTTTTATTTAGTATTTTTGAGGTCAACAGCAGCAATATTCAATTATTAAATTGTTATCGTACATTTAGGAAGTGTTGTGAAATCGCCTGGAGGGGATCAAATTAAACGGGGTGACGAGTTTAGCCACAACACTGACCGTGCAGACACACCCCAGCTTCGGGCGAACCAGCCACGGCGGACCACCGAGCTAATTCAACGCTATTTTTAGCACTTATTCACACACAACAGGACAATATAGCTCCACTGCGCGATGCTTTGGCCGGTTATAGTTGCACAAGAAGCCCGGCTGCATCGTTAAACGCAGCCACGGTGTTTGCTCGGAGGGGCAGCTAGCCGCCGCTAGCAGCTAAGTGTAACAATGATCGCTCACCCGTTGGACGCGCCGTCGAACTTGAGCGACAGCGTCTCTTCTATAATGCGGTTATTGATTTCTAACAGGATCATCGCAGCGGACGCCGGTGTCGAGGAGAAAGGGGAAGAGTGGCCGGTGCTGATCGGTGGGATTAAACCTCTTTGTGTCAAATTCTGCAAATTTTTTCCTCCGTTGACAGACCAGACCGCTTCCGTCGAGGCTCCTTCCGCCTGCAGCTTCCGCGTATTTTACACTGAGGACCCCAGAAGCTTGGGGTGGCTAAACTGGTGCCTGTAATGAATTCGTAATGACAATATTAATAACTGGGGC